CTTGCTCGATTCATGCTAGAGTTTGATTTAGCTTCCTAGGGTTTTTAGCGAACATGGCAATGGTTGGATTTTTGCGTGCTTTTGATCATGATGACTCCGGTGAACCAAAATATCTCTTTCCCCCTTGATCTCTCTAATTTTCTTGCGTGCTTTACTTGCTTTCAATTTCAATTTCGTAGATTAATTTAGCTTAAATCAAACCTCAATTCAAGCGATTAGCATGTTTAGGACGTTTTTGGTTGTGTGACTTTGACGACTAGGTAGTGAACGAAGCTCCGAAGAGCCTTCCTTTGAGAACGACCCGAGTCGGGTAACTCGGTTACCACATGCCCAAATTTATACTCAACACAGAGGCTCGAGAATTTCATCCCAAAGCGCCGCTATGGTCGTAGCGGCGCTATGACCCCTTGCAAGTCCCAGAATAGTATAAAAAGCCCCAAAACTCATTTTTTCTCTATTCCTTTGACTTCCAGCTTGAAGGGAGAGGAACCCTAGGTCCAAAAATTTCCTCCCCCCTTCACTTACCTTCATATTCTTCTTCTCTTCTCTTTTCTTTTCTCCATTTTTCTTCTTCTTTTCATTATTATCAAGGGTTTAGCTTGAATTTTGAATTCAACTGGAACTTGGATTGATTGTAAGTATTCATTTCTCTTATTTGATTCATGAATAATGATTATTTGAGAGGATTGATCATGATTGTTGAATTTAATATTCGTAGCTAAATCCGATTGCTAGGGATAAGGGATGATTGTTTTTGTTTGAGTTGTACTTGTCGGGCTTCGATTCGTTCATACTTATGTGAGTTGTTTTAATTAAGAATTGATATATTCTTGCTTGATTGAGTGATATAATCGAAGAGTGACACTTCGATCTTGCAATTGGTAACAATTGAATGTTGATTAGTTGAGTTAGGGTTTTGTTGATCTATGTGATTAGTCGGCTAATACCCTTCTAATTGAATTAGCGACTTTAGAACCAAAAGGGGAGAAGTCGTAGACCTAGGCTCGCATGAGGTAGATGATTTCGTAAATGAATAATCTATGTGCTTTAGATTGAAATACGCACTTGTCGATGACTCGTCCCTTGTTACGAAAAGTTATTGGGATTGAGATAATTGGTCTGTGTTGTATGCTCGAACTTGTTCGTTTATGTTCAATTCCTTGTTACGAAAAGTTATTGGGAGCGAACCGCTAGATGTCTAAGCGAGAGTGTCAATCTCGAACTGAACAATTGATTGCCCAGTTGTGCTAGAACTTGAATTAATTATCCCCGACTCCTTAGCTTCTCCATCTTTGTTTCGTTAATATTTTTACGTATATTATTGCTTTTATTTTATTTCGTAGTTGATAATTGATCTCCCTTATTTGATTAGAGTGTTTAGGTTTTATTTTCTTTTTATGTGCTATCAATACCAAAGCTAAATTACGAACCGTCTTCCTCGTGATATCGACCCGGGAAACGAATCCTTCGATTCGGTGCTCGGTAAAAATAACAATTTGTGCTACAACAATCTTCACGCCCTTAGAGACAAAAAGAGAAAGAGAGAGGAAAACTTTACAAATGAGGAATCAGAGGCCCCTAAACCTAACCATGATTTGTCCACCAAGAATGAGCAAAAATAAAAAATAACTACTTAAATGCTTAGAAAAAAATAATAATAATAAATACCATAAAATCAGGAATTTTAAATTATGTAAAATACTATCACATATATCTTTTACTAATTGCAACAAATTCATTGTTTATTAAAAAAATCGGATTGCATAGAAATCGGGTTAAAGTAAAATTCATCATGAAAAATTTGTAAAAGTGAAAATTCTCTAATTTGGTTTATTAAAAAACATTTGTTTACCATAAAATAAAGAATTTCAAATTAGCCAAAATATTATAACATTATTGCTTACCTAATTGCAACAGATAATGTTTATTAAAAAAATCAGATTGCATAGAAATCGGGCTTAATTTCAAATTGAAAATTAAAATTTAAAAATCTCTTATATTTTGACTTTTACTTTCTTTAGTTCGTATTTTTTTTTAACATAAGATAGAGTCAGATAATATTAATTTCCAATTCAAAATAAAGAACATCCTAAAAATTTGAGTTTTTTTAATCCTCTAGAATACAAATTTGAAATTTATTGCATACACTTACAAAATAAATAAAGATTGCATACACTTACAAAATATCATATATATCCTGTTAAATAATTAATTTATTTATTTAAATCTATCTCGAATCCTAATACTATTTGTGGTGATAGACGAAGTACCAAAAGATCAAACAAATAATATTGTGTAAAAAGTATGTATTTAATGATATATAAGTTACATTTTGTTTATTCCAATACATGCGTTTTACGTTCTTCCAATCATTCAATCAGCCAAATCTAAATGTTCACCTTAGTAAAACAAACTCTTTACCTTAAAAAAGTAACAAGTGCATCGCACAGGTACTACACTAATTTTTTTAAATTCATTATTATATACGTCAGAATTTTCATTGAAATATGTACCCGTTTGGTTTTTGTTGAGATGTGGTAATTTTTATCTTGAATTTGTCCAAATTCAATTACAGATTTCTTGTAATTGTTACATTCTTTATATATATTACGTCAATGACTATTTGATTACTATAATGATTAAAATTGCCCACAATGTATCTCATAATCAAATTCCTAAGATAGCACAAAATCTGGTTTCAATGTTGACCTATTACTTCTGTAAAACAGTATAAAAGTAAAATTGTGTCAATGACTATTTTCGCAGGCACACAATGGACAAAATCATACTCCTATTATTTGTGATCACGCTCAATATCTTCCAAACTTCGGCACTCAGTTGTATTTTCACAAACAAAGTTAGGGTTCATGTGGTTAACGAAATGGATCGAAATATCAGCACTGTGCCGGTGATCGTGCACTGTCAGTCCAAAGACGACAACATGGGATACCACACGCTTTTGAACCAACAAGAATTCAAATGGTCGTTTTGCGAGCGTGTATTTGGTCACACCTTGTTCTTTTGTCATCTATGGTGGGGTTCGAAACAAGTGTCCTTCGATGCTTTTCGTTCCAAATATTTTCACCCACCCAAAAAACATTATTTTTGGGTGGCTAATAGTTTAGGCATTTGGTCTTATAGCACTAATGACCTCATTAATTATGATGAAGTTTTTCGTTATCATTGGAACTAAAATATCATGTGAAAATAAATAAATAAATAAAATAAGAGGTCGCGACTACTTGAATTTGTCGTGTTAATTTGTACTCGCGATTTAAGATATTTCTCTTTTTTTTAATAATTAATTAATAAACGTATTGGGTGTTTCATTCTTCGTGTTTTTTTTTTTCATAAAAAAAATCTAAACAATCTAATTTAATAATTTCCACTTTATTCGTCTACCATTAACGGTGTTGGACCAATTGATACTGAATTTCAATTCCATATCTCAAAGCTATTTTAGGAATTTAGCTTTTTTCTTCATCAACCCTCTACAATTGTTAAAAAATAGAATCTATATCTATATTTATATAAAAACGTTTGATTATTTTTAAAATAATAAGTATTTCCAGCAAAAATTATATTTAATTACTTAATAAGGAAATTTTATCATCAAATTAAAATTCTTTAAAAATCATTAACTTACGCCTAAAATAATACACTCAAATAGCTTTATTTAGGGAAAAATTCAAAAGTAGTCCCACAAGTTTGGGGGGTGACACTTTTGGTCCCAACGGAATGGCGAAAATACCAATGGTCCCACAACTTTTAAAAAATAATCAAAAGTGGGACATTTTACGATTTTCCGGGCCAAAAATCCACGCGTCGCTCACGTGGCATTTTATTTACACGCTGTTTTTTTTTTTTTGTCGTGCTGGAAATTAGAATTCCCACGTGGACCGATTCAGCAAAATATAAAAGCCGAAAAATGGGAAAAATCGGGCAAAAAAAATTTGCCCCAAATCGTTCTTCCCCAATTCAGATTTCGCTCCACATTAGAACCCTAATCCCCAAATTCCCCACGAAAGTTGTGTCGATCAAAATACAACTGAGCAAAAGATCAACGTAGAAACGGGCGTACTCAGATTCCTTCCCACAATTTCTAAAAATTTTTCAAATCTCAACCCTAATTGAAATATGTCTTTCGTCACCGGAGATGGGACATGCCATTGTGGTCGGAGGACAGTGATTCGGACATCATGGAAGGACACCAACCCTGGGCGGCGATTCGAGTCATGCTTGAATTATGAGGTGAGGTGTTAATTAGAATTGCTGGTTCATGTTCTTCTATTTTCTGGTTTATTGATTTCTAAATTTGACTCTTACAGCATGGAGGGTGTGATTACTTTGACTGGTTCGATCCTCCAATGTGTCGTAGGTCTAAAATGATAAGTCCGGGCCTCTTGAGAAAGATGATGAAAGGCAAACTGAGATTGAGAAGCTGAAACAGAAAAATGAAAAGTTGGTGGAGTTGAAAAAAAAGGTGAAGAAGATAGTCTTCATTTTGGTTCTTTTGCTGGTGTTGGTTATTTTATCCAATTTCAAAGGTGCTAAGAACCCAAATGGAATGAATCAAGTGAAGATGCTTCAGTGACTGTGATGTGTTATGTTTAGATGTTGTTAGGATCTTTAATAGCATTTTGAATGCTTCAGTGACTTTGATTGTTGGCATAGTGATGATGTTGGTGTTTGCATTTTGAATGGTAGGATGGTTAAGATGGTAGGATCATGTTTATGTTAAGGTACTTTTGTATGTTGTGTAATAGCATTTGTTAATGTAATATGTTGGTATTTGGAATGACAAAAGCTGTTTTGGTGTCCTTATTTTCTAGCTGCTTTGTTTAATGCTGAAACTGTAAGAACATAAAAGGGCACAATAACCTGTTTATATTACTTGTTTACATAAAAGTAAACAAAATCCATGTAACATCCAAACAAAACCTGTTCATTCCAAGAATCATTCCAAGAACCTGTTCTAACAAATCCAGCAACAAAATTCCAAGAATCACATGAGAACCATTCATTCAAACAAAATCCATGTAACATCTACAAAATTCCAAGAACCACATGAGAACCAAAACAAATCCAACATTCAAACAAAATCCAAATAACATCTACACCAAAACGGCAAAACCTGTTTGTCCACATTACTACCCAAAACACATCTAAGAGAACATCCAATTGTTTCACAAACAAAACATGTCCAAAACAAATCTAAGTGAACATTCATTTTTTCACTTCTTTTTTCCCTTCCCTTTCTTCATTTGCACTCCAGTTTGGCTTTCTTGAGAGAGGTTCATGAAATTTTTCCCACCTTCCACCACAATTGACTTGGAGCTGTTGGGCTTGGTACTGAATAATGGTCTGCTATATCCTCCTGTGATTGGTAGGGGTGCCCTTATATTGATCCTAGTCTGCAGAGGGTTAGTCACAGGTGGCTGGTTTGAGGACATCTTCAGCTGCTCAAATGGAGAAGGACCTGGCTTCTGAGGCTGCACATACTGATATAGGTTGCTGTCTACCTGGCTTTCAATTGCTGCAATCAAATCCTGGTCTGAAATCACACTATCCATCAGATCCTCTTGGGTGGGTGGTAAAATTTTTGGATTTGTATTTTTCTTCTCTTGTTGTGCATTAAATGAATTATCCACACCTCTTTTGGTAACCTGAAAAATATAAATAGTTATAGAGAATCTGGTTGTTAATGAGGAAACAAAATACATAATAAAAAATAAGAAAATATACTTGTGGCTGAGGTTGGTCATGTTCATAGGAGTCCATCTCAGTATAGTTATTAATTGCTGCCATCAACTCCTCATCTGAGATCACTCTATTCATCAAATCATCTGCTGTGGGTGGTAAAATATTGGCATTTGCAAGAACATCCTGTTGTTGCTGTGGTGCATCACAAGACTTTCCAACCCCATCTGTGTTTTTCTTAGTAACCTAGCAATGTTGATAAGGAGCAATTAATTAAAAGATATATTTTGTTAGAAAAATATGTCATTTTACCTTTAACTTCTCCCTCCTGATAGGGATATTGGCATTGGCATTTGCTTCTTGTTGCTGTGGTGCATCTTCTGTGGTTTGTACAGTGACCTATAAAATATATATAAGCATAAGAAGTTTCTTAGAATGACCAATGTATTAAAAATACATGATTCTGTTAAGAAAATAAAAGAAATGTAAGGACAAATTTAAATTTACCTTGCATCTGAGAGCATTGTGACCTGCTTCATGGCATTTAGAACACCTCAAAGTTGTTTGTTGTTTTTTTAGCTTGTATGGACAAGTTGACCTCTTCCTTTTACCCCTCGGTTCATCAGGTTCTCTTCTTCTCAAAGAAGTGGGTCTGCCTCTGCCTTTTTTCTTACCAGGCATGGGGGATAAGGGAGGAACATAAGAAGTCTGCCCCCATACAGATTGACCACTCATTGGCATGATTGCATTCTCATGTGTCATTCTGTAGGACTCTACTGAGTAGAAAGGGCTCACAAAGTCAACTGGGTCTTCTTTTTGGTTGATAATGGCTCTAAGAGCATGTGAGCAAGCTATACCACTCAACTCTCATGCCCTACATGTACATGTTCTTTTGTCAAGAACCACAGCATACTGTTCTCCAGCAGGGCAAGAAATTTGATAATTGTTATCAACTTCCTTAATAGGAATGCACTCAACCATCTTCTCAACATGTTTGTCCAAGATCTTTTGAATCTTAGGACACAATTTTCCATGCCATTTTTTAGCTGCTCTGTCCCTATTCTTTTGGAGTCTTACCATCAGATACTCTCTAATATGTTCCAGCAAAGTGATGATGGGTTTGTCTCTTGCCTCAAGGATGTTTGAATTGAAAGACTCACAGACATTGTTAAGAACCATATCACATTTTGGGACACCTGAGAAGTGTGATTTTGACCACTCATTTGGTGTTTTATCATGAAACCATGCCCATGCATCTGGACTGAGATTTTTCATTTCCATCATCCTCCTCTTAAATTCCCCAACTGTAGTAGCCTGTGCAGCACTCCACAATGCTAACTTAAAACTTAATCCCCTGAAACCTACATTCTTGAAGTTCCAGTGTAGGTGTCTAACACAAAACCTATGAGGACTATTTGGAAACACCTCTTTGAAAGCCTGTATTAAACCCTTTTGTTTGTCACTCATGAAGGTCATTTTCTCATCAACATCAATCTCTAGGTCTGACTTAAGTATGGTTAAAAACCATGACCAAGTCTCTCTTGTTTCTCCACTGACAATAGCATAAGCTATGGGGTATAAATTGTTGTTGGGGTCAACACCCACTGCAGTCAGCAAGATACCTAGATTATGTCCCTTTAAGTGACAACCATCTACACCAATTATAGGCCTACATCCCATTTTGAATCCCCTTTTCAATGCATTAAAACAACAATAGAACTTACTAAATCTGGTTTCACCATTTGAAGTCACAATGTCAAGGATGACAGTGCTTCCAGGATTGGTCTTCCTCAGCTCATCAGAATATTCCCATAACTTAGAGAATTGCACAGAAGGATCACCTTGTATCACTTTCAAAGCTCTCCTCTTGGCTCTGTATGCTTGTTGCCTGGACACATCAACCCCAAGTTTTTTAATCACTTCAGCCCTCCATCCTTTGGTTGTCCTCTTAGGATTAGTCTCAAAAGTTTCAAGATATTTTTCACTCAACCATCTACTTTTTAAATTCTTCACAATGAAATCTGGTTGACAACTGTGATTAAGAAAGTATGTAGAAATTATGAAAGCATGGTCATCTGCTTTCTTAAGGGCATTTATTCTCCATTTGCACCTCTCAACCTTACACTCAATATATACCCTTCTATTGTCATTCTTTGTAAACTTCAAGTTTCTTTTTGTGGTAATTGCATGAGACTGAATTGCCTTCTTAAATTCTGCCTTAGTAGCAAAAACCATGCCTAATTCAAATGTTGGATTGAAAATAAGTGCAGGGTTGAAAACAAGCTCACTTGGCTCACACTCTTCATCAGACACCCTATACTCATCTAGTTGAGGGCTATCAATAACCACATCATCTTCCTCATCATCATTATCTAACTGATTCACATCTGTCCCTATATCATCGTTATCTGAATGATTCACATCTTTGCCTATATCAGCAGGTTCTGAATGATTTACATCTTTGCCTATATCATCATTATCTAAATGAATGACATCTTTGTCTATATCATCAACATGTTCTTCCCACAAATCATCATCATCTTCACTATCAGTTTCAGGACTCATGTTGTAGTCAGAATCATTTAATTCATCAGAATCAGATTTATTTTCATCCACAAGCTTCTTTCTACCTAAGTCTTTACCCATGACTTGTTCTCTTGGTAACCAGATGGAACCCAAAGTTTTCTTAATTGCCTCATTTGGAACAAACACAGGAGCAGATTTAGGGTCTTTAGACTGACAAGGCTCATTAGACTCATTAGGGCCAACACCAGGATCAGGAGGCAACAAATCAACATATATATGCATCTCTCTAGTTCTAATAGCATCAGGAAAAAAAATTTTAAAGTCTCTGTCACTGCACAATAAAAAAAACCCACTACTCTCATACATGTACAACCCCATTTCTCCAGTAATACCTACTTGTTTGCACCACATACTCATAGCCAACATTCCCAATTCTTGTGGGGTGACATAGTCAACTATAAAAAGCTTACCTCCTTCATATTTTGGTACAGGGAAATGTTCAAATTTTCCGCCCCAATGCACAACCAATGTGAAGGAATCAGACGTAGGATTTGTACGTTTATGAGAAACAAAAAGTTATGAACAAGGCAAAAAAACCAAAACAATAAACAAATCAACGGACACGAAAAATGCGAAGCAAAAGTTCAGATGTTGGAGCGATTCCCACTTACGATATATTGGAGGAGGTAAGTTCTGGTGGATTTTCTGACGGAGGAATCCCATTTGTGTTCAATCTTGTGCTCAATTGTGCTTTTGATCTAATCAGTAGTTCGGTAGGAGCGATTTGAAAATTCTTAGGGTTCTAATGTTGGAGGGATTTGGGAATTGGGGAAGAACGATTTGGGGCAAATTTTTTTGGCCTGATTTTTCCCATTTTTCGGCTTTTATATTTTGCTGAATCGGTCCACGTGGGAATTCTAATTTCCAGCAGGGCAAAAAAAAAAAA